TATATAAGCAACAGACACTACAATATGTGACTTCAGGAACTCAGCTAAAATTTGTGTAAGATTTTAAACTACAGCAACTGGTGTTTACAGAGAGCATAGGCAGTGAAGTCACTGGTGCACAGAACACATGTAAATGTAAATGATCATGACAATGAGAACTAGAATAACTGGAACTGAAGTGAAACCAGAAATCAGCAGCCCTCACGTGGGCCGGCTGGCTAACCACAGCTTGACTCTGAGTCAGATGATTTGAGTCTGAGTCGTCTCTCTACTTTTCCATTTTTCAGTGGTTGCACACCAGCTATGCCGAGCACCTGCGCAAGTTTTTCGCCTGTGAAAGAACTCGTCGGCATAGAAAGACGGAGAAAACTGACAAAGAAGCTTTGTGTTGGACAGAAAAACAGAGTGAGTATGGAGTCATATCTTGCTCAGACACATAGAACAGGTTTGTTAGGTTTACACTGCAGACACTTATTTCAGTTGCTTGTTAAAGAAACAACACATTTGTGTGTTTTTACTGGTGTAAGGTTCTTGAGCTCATGAAGACTTTTCAGTTTTGTGTCTAAGGTCTGTAAGATTAATAATAATAAAGGTTGTGTGTTAGCATATGGTCTTCATCTTATGCTGAAAAATGCAGGAGTTGTAGCCATTTTAGTTAAACCTTAAAAATAGTTACCATCTATTTAAAAACTGCCACATCTAATGGTATCTTCTGTATAAAATTGACAGTGTTATGGTTATTTTTATATGCCCTGTTTAAGACAAGATGTATCATGCTATGATGCTGTCCATTTGTCTGTTTGTGGACAGTTTCTTGACTTAATTCTTAAATGTAGAAATGTCAGCCTGCACAGCTGGATACCTGATTTGTCAAAGATGAACCCCATTGATTTAAAGGTCATGGGGTCACAAGTCAAGCTCATGGTGACCCCTTTAAAACCTTGTTTATTCTCCAACTTGGCATCTGACTAAGAAATGTCAAAGCCATTGTTCCTATCTGTCCATCTAGAAAGCACACAGTATGTTGTCCGTGGTGTAAACCCAGAAATGTCAAACTTGTTTTTGCTGGGGGCTACATGAGTGTCATGGTGGCCCTCAAAGGTCCAGTTGTAATTTTGACCTTAAACAAAACGTCCATTCCTCGGCTCGTTGCTACAGCTGAGCTGACAAACAATAACAGCTCCACCTGGTATTTCCTACATAGAAACAGCATTTTAACACATCCTCTTGTAAACACTGAAAAGTACTATGAGTACAACTGACAGAAATACTATTGAAAGTGAAAGTAAGAGAGTTTTACTCACTAGTGAGTTATGGTGAGCAGCTGCCGTCTTGAATTCTGAACTCTCTCACTTCAATACAACTGGACCACAGCAAAGTAGCAAGAGAAAATGCAACTAAATGGAGATTTTACTCAGTGACTTCTGAACCCGTGCACCTCCATCTAGTGGTGGCATGCCGTCATAATGCAGTTAAAATAATTGCCTCATGGGAGATGTAAGGCTGCCTTTAAAGCAGCATTCGCTTATTTTAAGATATTAATACATCTTCGAAGCTCTCGCAGGTCACATAAAATGTTTAACGTGGGGTTTTAGGGCAATATATGTCATCGGAAAATGGCTCTGTATTGGATCTTATTTTTGTGAAACCTCTTCTACCAAATAAGTCTTATTTGTGTAGTTCACTACTCTCATTATAAAATAGTTTGAACAGGCTGGTTGTCAACAGATAAGTTCTTCACATTGTAGCTGATGGCTGCAGATTTGTGTTCTTACATGTTCTGTAACATGACTGTTTGTTGATTTACCCCAGGTTCCCAACCTTTTTAGACTTGTGTACCCCCTGAGCCATCTTGTCATACCCCTAGTACCCACTCTGTCAAACATAATGATGATTCTCCAAAGCTATAATGTACAAAAGCTGATGCTTAAAAGAAAATTATTTATTTTCCCCCCTAGAACATTTCATTCTCAGGCATTTTATTCTTTTCAACTCAAGTTAAACATAAAGATAAAAACATTACATTGAAAGTGAATAATTAATTAATTAAATAAAGCAGATAATGGCAGGTGCAGAAAACAGCAGCGTCCAAAATACATCAAATACCCCCAAAAGAGCAAATTCCATGAGATTCCATGTTTTATACTGGATTCCATTTTGTGTCAGTTGTGTGATTCCGTCAGCAACTTCCACATTGCAGAAATCATAGGGCCCTACATATCTCAGTCCTATTTTTATTTAATTTTTACACACCTGGGAAATTTTTACCACATACCCCGGCCTGTAATATGTTCACGTACCCCAAGGGGTACATGTACCCCTGGTTGGGAGTAACTGATTTACCCCATGGACAACATCATTATCAGTAAAATTAACTTTATCACGCCACCACATTCTTGTATGTACTTTATATGCAAATATATTCAGGGCTGTTGGGTGAGGGAATTCATGCTTTGGGCTTTTATTATTCGGACAACTTACTGACAGACGTATTATGAACCATTGGCGGTACTCTTGTTACGTTTTGTAAGACCAGTCTGCTAGGATAAAAATTACTGACTCCAAACTTTCATCAGCTTTAGATGCACATCCAGTGATTATTTCCAATCATTTTAAAACAAAACTCTGGCACAGTCTGTTACTTATGATATGAACACAGGCTCAGCTACTACCAGACCAACGTTTTGGTCAATAGCTATTGAACTGATTGTGTTATAGACATTTGCTTGTGTTTTGGCAGCCACTTATATCAGATGACTTCAGGTTCTTTAAATCTTTAATCAGACAGACAAAAACATTGAAACTTAATTTTTGCCTCTTGGTGGCAGGTGATAATGAGAGTTGGGCTTTAAATAGCTGTAAGTTAAACCAAACTGCACTCATAAGCTTTAGTGTCTAAACTTATTATTGTTGACATCTCACATTTATGTATCATAAAGAGTATATATTTAAACAAGAACTGCATTTACGTAATAACATTTTACGATTGATTTTCAGTTTGTCTGCCTCAGAGCGTTCCTGTGGAGATAATGTGTTCATGTCGTTTTCGACTCTCACGGTCAGTAAAGGTAGCAGTTTCCAGTCTTCTGTGTTTGTGTTTCATCACACACTGCTACCTCAACTACACAGCCACGAAACAAACGTCACACACATCCATCCTCGGCCCGGCACTCCAGGATCCCAGCTGTCCCGCTGGATTTTACAGCAAAGAGGAGCTGGAGCCTCGCCTTCGGAGGCCTCCCCAAGATCCCCGGGCGCCGGGCGCGCATGGCAAACCCTTTGAGTTCCACTTGGAGACTCCTGAGGACCGCCAGGTGTTGTTACAGGGGTTTAATAAAAACCAGTTCAACCAGTTTGCAAGTGATCACATTTCCCTGCACCGTGATCTGGGTGAAGACACTCGTCCTCCAGAGTGAGTGTTCCTCCTGCTGTTACTTATTACCTGAACAGATCATACAGGGGGGGAAAATGTGCATCAAAGCTTAACTCTGAGTTTGACTCTGACAGATGCTTGGAGCAGAGGTTTCTGCGATGTCTCCCAAACACCAGCGTGATCATAGTGTTTCATAACGAGGCCTGGTCTGCCCTGCTCAGGACTGTTTACAGCATCTTGCACACGGCTCCCGCTGCTCTGCTCACTGAGATCCTGCTGGTGGATGATGCCAGCACAGACGGTGGGTGTGTGTGCTGCATGGAAATCTGTTTTTACTGTGTGTTGCTGCTGGTGCAGAATATGTTACTGAAGTTTACAGAAGAAAACGTCCAGCGGTAACCTAATTTGTGGTTAAACACGTGATAAGAAATAACAGAAAACCCACCCACCTGCACCAGGAAGTAGTTCACTAATATAATAAATTTGCTATGGCAGCCAAAAAAAATGTCTGACTCATAAAATTCATAATGAGGTTCAAAAGTAAACAGTTATCTAAACGATAAAACTTGGATTATAAAAATGATAAAACTTTATAACAAGCGATAAATCAATTCAGCACCTGAATGCTCTGTTCACTCTGCACTCTTACAGGTGCAGAGACATAAAGACATTATCATTTGCCTTATCTCTGTGATAATTAGTTTTTAATTTAAAATTAAAAAACCTCAGCTAAATTTTTAAAATTACTTTAGCTAAAAATGCATAAATGTTATTGTAGCTGGCCCAGTTCAAATGGTCATAAATCTGATAATTATTACTCCTTAATTGCACAAATCGAAATGAGTTCAAAGTTCCTTTAAATTTCACAAAACATTAGTCAGGTGATTGGTGACGTAAAAGGTAGATATTATGTAGCTTTTGAACAGGATGCAGCTGGAGATGAAAACTGACTGATACATAATGAGTTACAAAATAATCATGAAATAAAACCGGTGCTAAAAAGAAAGTGAATCACTAACAAAAGCTAAAAGTTTGCAAATTGCGGCACAACAAATAAAGAGTTAACAAAGCATAATGTGGTTTCCCTCAAGGAGAAAAAAAAATAAAAATCAGCTGTTCTGATGTTTAATCTCTTTTTCTGTATTACCAGATAATAACTGCTGCTGAAAGACAAACAAAACATTTGTCACAAATAAAACCTGTACTTTCCTTCCCACCATCTTTAGATCAGCTGAAGGCTCCTCTGGATGAATATGTGAAACAGCTGCAGATAGTTCACGTTTTACGTCAGAGGGAGAGAAAAGGCCTTATCACAGCCCGGCTGATGGGGGCGTGGGCTGCTCGAGGGGAGGTCCTCACCTTCCTGGACTCCCACTGTACGTATGACACTATGCTGAGCACAATGACTGTTTGAAGGCACTACATCTGTAGATTACTGGAGGGAACTTCTTTCGTTTAATAGTGTGGAACTAGCTCTTTTATTAACTTTGGAAACCATTAGAGCAGGGCTATTCAAATGGTGGCCCGCGGGCCACATCTGGTGAGTGATCAAAGTCCGGCCCGCCAATTGGTTCATTCATCTCTGAAGCCCCAAACCCCTAGTTTTAGTTAGATATACAGTAGACGTGTGTGTTATTTACAGAAACATCAGAATCTTGGCTACAAGCTGGTTAAAAAAACTTTTCTATGAACACCCAAGTCAGTTAAAACTACAAGCAGTTGAAGATAAAACTATGAAAATGAAAATAAAATTGGTTTAAAAATATTGTAAGTCAGAGATATCAAAATATTTTTTGTGTTAAATATGTAGTATCCTTTATTTAACCAGGAAATTTACTCATTGAGATTTAAAAAAAACCTCTTTTCCAAGAGTGACCTGGCCAAGAGGAGGCATAATGTGTTATTTTTGTTTTCGATGTTTTATTATCACTACTGTCATTACATAGGGTTCAGTATGTTGTATTCATGATTAAATGCAGCAAAATAAACTACTTCAAAGGTAACAGATCTTTATAATATTGGCTTATTTACATAATGACTTTAATTGCTGGATGTTGACCTGCATTAACTGTGGCCCCCGGATCAATTTAGTTGAATAGCCCTGCATTAGGGGATGAATTGGCTTCCATTAAATTAGGCTTTGCCAACTTTAGGTGTGCTAACAGCATTGACAGGTTTGTGTTGGTCCCACCAGTCATCATCATCATCATCATCAAATTTATTTATTAAGCACATTTTAAAAACAACAAGTTGTCACCAAAGTGCTGAACACAAGGCAAACGCCATTATAAAAGTAAACAACATTCTTAAAAGCATAAAAGATAAAAAACCCAACAATAAATATATAACTCACAATTAATCAAGAATCTGAGAGAACAGGTGTGTTTTTAATAGAGATTTAAAAACAGGAAGTGACGGGGCCTGTCTAACGTTGTGGGGTAGATTGTTCCAAAGCTTGGGAGCCACAACTGAAAAAGCTCGATCTCCCCTCAGCTTCAGCTTGGTTTTAGGAATGTATTATGAGTTAGAGAAGCTAGCTTTTTGGTTAGCTGTGCCCATCACCTACAAGAACATACAGTAAAAAAAAGAAATTCAGGCTATCTGTACAGTTTTTACAGATTTTCAACAACTTAGATGTTAAAATTGACATTTAGCTCTTTATGTGTTAACGTGTAGGTGAGTGCCTCCCTGGATGGTTGGAGCCTCTCCTGGCTCGAATTGCAAAGGAGCCTACAGCTGTGGTGAGTCCACAGATCACCTCCATCGACCACAATAACTTGAGGTTTCATAAACCAGTGCCCAAACCTCAACGCCACAGCCGAGGAAAGTTCGACTGGAGGCTCAAATTTGGATGGGAGGCTGTTCCAAAAGAAGAAATGAAGCACAGAAAGAGTGAGACGTGTCCTATCAGGTCTGATTCAAGTATATATAAACACATTATAAGGATTAGAGACAATGTTATTCCTTTAGGCAGCTTTAATATTTGCTTTGAGCTCAGCTTGCATTAGCATTTTCTGTTATTTTTAAAAGTAGTTTAAAGATAACGCTTCTGTTGTAAATGATTTGGCTAGAAGTAAAATAATAATTAAAATTTAAATCACATCTCACAGAACTCCAACCTTTGCTGGTGGCCTGTTCTCTGTCTCTAAATCCTACTTTGAGCACATTGGAGCTTATGACGAACAGATGGAGTTCTGGGGAGGAGAAAATTTGGAAATGTCCTTCAGAGTAAGAAGTTTTTCTCTTATGCATCTTGTTTTTCATCCAACAGGATTTCCATGGCATATTTTTATTAATTGTTTTGGGTTTGCAGGTCTGGCAGTGTGGAGGCCGTTTGGAGATTCTTCCTTGTTCTGTAGTGGGGCATATTTTCCGTAAGAAAAGCCCCCACACATTTCCAAACAGCAGCTTCGCCATCGTCCGCAACCTGGTGCGCCTCGCCGAGGTCTGGATGGACGACTACAAACAGGTCTTCTATCGTACCAACAGAATGGCTGGTTCCATTTTTAAAATGGTATTAGAACAAATAAATTATCGTATGGTGCAAGATGTCACCATTTAAATGAAAATTGCCTTTTGGTACTAATTTTGTCATATTCTTCTCAGAACTCCTTTGGAAATGTTTCTGAACGTCATAAACTCAGGGAAAGATTAAAGTGCAAGAACTTCACTTGGTATTTAAACAATATTTACCCAGAAGCATATGTTCCTGATATTAAGCCAGTAAAGCATGGGCAGGTAAACTCTTTAATTTATTTGAATTTTTGTTTTTCTTCGCAATATCTTCTTCTCTCTGTTCTCTCTTCAGGGGTCTCCACAGTGGGGTCTCCTTGTCCATCTCCTTGTCCATCTACCCCCATGTCCTCTCTAACTGCATCCACATACAGTATCTCCTTGTTGTTTTTTCCTGACAGCCGAGTCTCTTAACATCCTTCTACCAATAAACCCACTGTCCCTTCTCTGGACATGTCCAACTGGTCTCTAACTTTATCTCCCAGTAGTTCAACCAGGTCTGTACCTCTAGCTCTGATGATCTCATTCCTAATCGTGTCCATCCACATCACTGCCACTTCCAGTTCTGTCTCCTATCTTTCTACTCTAAACCATACAACATAGCTGGTTTCACTACTCTATTATAAACCTTTCCTTTGATGTTTGCTGCCACTATTTCTCTCTTTAACAAGCCTAACCTGCTGTACATCCTGTCCAACTTGATCTCTCTGTCTTTGTCGATACAAGTGCTTCTCTCCCTTCTTAGTGTCCAGCCTCATGTGCAACTCGTCATACATCGTCTGTTTTGCCTTTGCTACCTCCCTCTTTGCCCTGTATTTCATCTCCTTATGTTCCTGTCTACTCTCTTCAGTCCTCTTACCGTCTAATTTCTTCTTGGCCTCTGGATAACTTCATGCACTTCATTATTCCACCACAAGGTTTGCCTAAAATCGTATCTTTGTCCAGAAGACACACCTTCGTACCTGTCTCTCACTAATCACTGTTGCTGCAGAAGCCCAATCACCCGAAAGCTCTCTCTTACCACCCAGAGCCTTTAAACAATCCTCTTTGAACTCCTCACCACTTCTTCTTATTCACTTTACCATCTGATGCTGTCTGGCCATGCCTTCCCCTGTCAAAACATTACAGTCCTCAGTCTTCCTCAGGTTACCTCTTCTACACAAATATCTCTCCACTGGCACGCCCACAGAGTGAGGGACACACTAGCCATGTCTCCATTCAATTTTATTGTGAATTTTAAGCAAACTTTTAAAATGTTGCAAAAAGGGAAAAAACGTGAATCAGACATGTTTCCATCTACTGGTTTAGAGCAAATCAAACTGGCTACGCAAAGTGTAATCATGCACATTTGTTGGCCGCATACGTCACTGCCCTACGCAGAGGGCTGTCCCAATTCACAGGCTCCTTCTCATGCAGCTGAGGAATGCGGCCTACAAAATCTCGAAAATCGAGGATGCATCAGAGTATCCTTCCCAGCTGAGGATATTCCAAGAGTCAGTGCACCGACAGCAAACTAAACAGAGAAATAAAGACAGCGGAGATTTTACTTTGTTACCAAGTCAGCGTAGTTTGGAAATTCATCACGAGCCGAAGAATTTGTTTTTAAAAGTAATTTTATCAGCTTAGCTGATGAAATTCATGCTGCAATAAGATGTTAACTAAAATGCAACTGCAAGTACTGACTGATACTGGAGCTAAGCCCAATTTATTTATTTATTTATTTATTTATTTATTTATTTATTTATTTATTTATTTATTTATTTATTTATGTGTAACATTTTAACTGTGAAGTTATTCTTCCAGTGAAAAGACGTGAATACACATCCCAACACATTTTAAGTCTGTTGTGAAATCCATATGAAACTGATCACTATGGTAATGGGGTAGGATGTGGTCACGCAAACCTACGTCAAGTGAAGGCTAGACCGTCTCATTTCACAGCAGTTGTATGCAGCCTACCTGGACTGGGAAGGACGTGGTCCAGGTGGGCCACGTACTCATGAGGATCCATCTCATGAATTGAGACACAGCTGTTGTGTCGTATCGACAAGTATTAGCACTTTCCTTTTCACCAAACCCCTCACTTCCTCATGCCCTCTGTTTCCTTCATCAACATGTCAGGTTTGCTCTGATCAGTGGGCACTGCTAACCAAAAATTAGCTTTGCAAACACTAAACTACTAAACAGGCAAGAAAACTGATGGATGCTAACTGATAACCGCTAACTCAAGATCTGTAATTAGAGCTGTATTGTATAACTCCCAAAGTGCTTTAGGGCATTTCTTCCTCTAAAATCATCTTTCTGACCAAATTACAGTCCAGCCAGTGGTTAGGTAACATTGAGTTGCACATTGGTTCCTTTGCTGCTTTTTCACTTGGTCTCTTTACACACATCTCTGCATCATGTCAGCCAGCTTTACACCTTTGCCTGCCTCATCATTTACCCAGACTTGGGACTGGTACAACAGATCCAATGGCTCCTATATTTTTATCAGCATTAATATCACAAGTTAAATAAGTTTCAATAAAATGTTTTTATACAGAGGTGCTGATTCTATGACTGATAATAAGTGTATTGATTTGTTGTTTCCTTGCATAAAGTTGGAAAACACTGCTTGGCAGTGCAGACTGGATGCTAAAAGGACAAAAAAGCAATGGGAGCCCGGTCAGAAGGTCAAATGTAACAACCGAGGGAAAGCACAGGTATGTTATGTTTTCAACCAAGAAACAGATTAGAATAGGTTTCCTCCTCTTTTCCTCTCTCTTGTCAAACATTGAGGCCAAATGATTGAATCCTGTAATTTTAATCCATTCCTTTGACATGAACAAACTGCAGGTTTCTGTTGGCTACAATTTCTGTTTATCATCACAACATTTAGTCATGAGGAAAAGAAAGTTCTCCCTCTTTTAGTGCCAGGATTGTACATTTTTTCCCCCACTGTGATCAAAATGATATGGTCTTTTCCAGGTTGTGAAATTAATCGTCAGATTGCTCATTACAACTAAGCTAAGAGAAAAAAGTTACATGTAAAAACTAAAATAACCTTTGCTGCTCCCAGATGATTTAAGATTTATTTCGAAGAACTGTTTTCCCATCAGTGGGTCGCCTCTTTAAAAGCAGAAATTTTGACAGTTTGCTGCTCTGGAGCATGCTGACAGTGCAGAGGAGTGAAAACAGCATGGCCTTAGAGAAATATCTGTTGTTGCCCTGAAAAGAATTAAAGGTCTTTTCAGAACAATTTGGAGTCCATCTCTCTACAATCTGAATGAGTATTCACATGTGGAAAATATCTAAGCCAACTAGGTCCTCCCAAACGTGGACAACTCTGCAAATTCACCCCAAGGTCAGATGCTCAAAGAAATGTCAAAAATCAACAACAGACAAAACAAGAGCTCCGTCTCAGACTCTACAGTTAGTGGGGTAAAAGTTATCTCTTTAAAGTGAGAAAGTACACAACGTTCACGGCTTGTTTGGAGAGGTTACCAAGAGGAAGCCTCTTATCACTAACAGGAGCATGGCAGCAAGATCTGAGCTTGCAAAGACGCATCTGAATGATTCACAAGACTTCAAACTAGAACAAAGTGGAGATGTTTGGCCACAGTGCGTCTCCACGGCTGTGAATTCAAGTGGTTCTCATCGATTCAGCCTCGGCCACATGTGTCTATTTTCAGTTGCTGCGTGGTTTTTGGATTCACCTCAGCGGTGGTTTCAGGCTGCTCAAACTGAGTAAGACCCATTGGTCGCAGGTGATTTTAGCGTCAGCAAACTGCCCATGACTGAGAACTTGCAAACTTATCCTGGAGAGAGGTGCAAACTTTTATAATGATTTTAGGAGACGGGCGCGTACAACTTGAGCTTGACAGTCTAAAACAAGCAGATTTTGGACAAACTGCACACATGCGTTCATAAACAGTGCCATGACATATTTTAAGAGCTGAAGTCTGACTCCTGGATGATAAAACCACAGAGTGAAGGACACATTGTACGTTTGAGTAGAACCAAACAGACATGTAGCAATTAACGTGGGACTTAATGGATAAGGTGCTTAAGTTTGGAGAAAATCAGCTGTAAAACATGACGGAGTAGGAGTGGAAAATTTGTAACCCAGTTAAAGCTGAATCCTGGGATGAAAGGTTTCTGTGGTTGACTAGAGTCCAGGGTGTACCCTGATTCACTGAGGGCTGGAAACAGGCAAACAAGTGGAAGGATATTTAGTTTATTTTAATCTCCTTTAGCATCTTATTGATTTTAAAAAGCAGTGACCATGGCTGGAACCAGATGGGAGTCTGACAACATTTATCTGAATCATGTAAACCAGTCTTTCTTGTCATTTCATGAACTTATGTCGGTTCAAACGGTAAAAACCTGAGCTGCTGGTCATCAGCCGTTAGCAACACCTACTTGAAACACTTGGACGTTGAACACCGTGCCAGTTGCAGCCAGGTGGCTACATCAGAACCACACAAACACGGCTTCTCTCTGGCAAACAGATCCCACTGTTTAGCAGATCAGCTGCCTCTGCTGCTGTTGTTATTTAAATACAGGAGCCTTTTCTGTCAAGTGGACTTCAACCTGCGGCGTTCCCATAACCAACCCTGTTACGGTTATTACTACAGTGTTAGACAGTGGGTTGGAATTTAATATTAAACAGATTTCCTTATCTAAATATAGTGTTTTGTTCTTTCTAGTATTTTGAGTACACGTCCAAACAAGAGATACGACTCAGTGCTGGTATTGAGATGTGTTTGCATGCAGCCCAAAGACAATCCTGGGTCACTCTGGAACGGTGCCGTTTGAAGGAGAAAACAGCACCAGGCCAAGTTTGGGTCATAACACAGGTACTTCCACCTTATTTGAACCTGCTGCTGCAGCTCATGTAGTCACACTGTCCTTGTTGCAAAGGGAAGTTAAGATCTTTAGTTCCTCATTCTCACCACTCTGTCTCTAAAAGCATCTTTTAAATGCGCCAGATGATGTTTGACCTGTTGCACTGTTGTTTGCAGACAAACCACGTGCAGAACCCCGCTTCAGGTAAATGTCTGACAGTGGCGGGGGCCGATGTGATCTTGGCGGACTGCCAATCCACTGGAAACATTCAAAGTTGGGTCTTCATCTGACAAAAGGCATGGGTTTATGGAGGCGGCTTTTTGTTCCTGCATCAGTCACATGCTGTTAAAGCAGCTGGTTCCTGCAGAAAGTGTCGACTGAAGAAGAAGAAGAAGAAGAAGATGTGGGATGAATCCAATCTTTTATCTGAGCTTAAGTCATTTAAAGTTTGTCCAGATCACAACTATTTCAGGAAGGTTCATCCAAAGTTAGAGTCTTTTTCTGACAAACTGCTCTTTGTTCTCATGTCCCTGTGAGGAGGCTCAAACAGGGGAGTCTGTCTTTGGGAAAACAAAGAGGGTGTTTTGGAAATTCTGGTTGCTGAACCCTCAGATCAGCCTGGACTTTAATTGTTATTTTGCACAGAAACGTGGCTGTGATCCTTGTCTCTTTAGTTTGGAGTTGCAAAAGAAAGAGTTCACATTCCCAGGCCCATCCCGCCTCCCGGTTGTCCGGTGGACAACCAAGGAAAAAGGACCTAGATTAAAGTTAGTCGGTGTTCATCATTGTAAAAACGAATGGGAGAAAAAAACTTGTCTTGGGATTAAACTGACGGTTCTTTCACCCAATAAAGAGAACCACAGTCAAAGTTTTACCCGATCAGAACAGAGCAGGATGGGTTGTGCCGTCTGACTGACAGCGCTGCCTTTTCTTTTCTTTCTCTGTGGGTGGGGGGTCAGCTTCCCTCAGCTCAGGTGAACACCTCCCAGGAAAGCCCTCAGCGTTTCCTGGACTATTTTCCACCGAGGATTACATCGTATTTTATATATATATTATATTTCTGTTGTCACAGACGTAAACAATTCAGGCCAAGTCATGTGATCGTTCAAAATTATAACGTGTAATATCTCATAAATTATTGCAGCGCAAACATCCGTTTCAACGGCACAAGCCTGCTCAAACAAAGCACTACAAAATTCGACTAATTTGGTTCATTTTGGAGCGAGCGGGTGGGAGGGCGACCCCTGAAGGACACTTACAAATAATCTTTAATCTATAAAAAACCATAGCAGCACAAACGACAATTTCAAGTGCACAAACGCGCACAAACAAAGCACTAACCACCCATCCAATTTGCCTTTTTTGTCTGTGGTTCATTTTTTTGGGAGGGGTTGCCTTCACTCAGCTATGTCAACCCCTTCAGACGTTGACCTGTATAATGAGCATCAAATATCTGCAGCCTAATTTTGGCAAAAAATCCATATTCATCACACGTTGGTGGAGTGGAGGTGCAAGCAGACTGCAGCTGCACGGAGTGGGTTGGGGGGCATCTTTTAACAAAGATGTGTCTGCATTTGACTTTGATTTTCTTCTAAAATCACAAAGTTCTCTGAGTCAGCTTCAGGTCTTTGTAATTAATTATAAATATCTGCTAAATTTAACTAGGTGTTTCAATCTAACCAGGTGTTTCAATCTAACCAGGTCTTTCAGTGCCTTTAAATTACACAATATTTTTAGTGGAGAAACTTGTCAGTTTGGTTAAAAAAGCAGTAAAAATAATTTATTTTTTTCTGTGCAGAGCACTTCCTTTTCTATAATGTTTTTAAATAAATGTATCAAAGCTCCTCAGTTGAAAACACTAAAATGACAACCTGTCTTTCCTCAGAAAGTCTTCAGTCCTAAGAACACTAAACTGTAACTTTTAATAAGGTCATGGAGACAGTATACTCCTAATTAAATGAAAATGTTTGACCTGTAAGCAGAAAGCTTATGGACGTTGGATGTTGATTTTTGCTCAAAGAAGAGGAGGAGGAGAAGTTTCACTCAAGTAGCTCCTGAAACTGTCAGCCTTGCTGACTGAGAACGTTTGTATACAGTAAACTTTGTATACAGAACAACATACTTTATTAAATTACATTTTTATTTAGATTTTTTGGACAACCAAAATGTTTTGAGGACAACCAGATTTTGTCAACAGGCTGGACAACCTGAAAAAATCCTTATGTCTACCCCTGATTTGTTTTCACTTATTTTGAATGAAGTTTAAGATGTGCATAGAACTGAAGGTCTAATGATAGTGTCCTTGTTTTATTTTCATCACACATTGCCTTTTATTTTGGGTGAAAAAGTGGAATATTTGGTTTCCAGTAAAGTCTTTTGACGTTGATATTTATTTAGTTTGGAGGTGAGCGGTCCTGTCTTTCACACAGGAGGCTGGGGTTGGAGCCGATTTTATTTTTATTCTACTCAAATCAAAATATTTCAGCTTTTTGTAGACAGCTGCAGTAATATTTCAATAACCTTTAAAGGGATCTCTGATTAGTAGGAACAAAGTTTTCATCGATCATATATCAGTAGCTCTTAATTCATATTGACAGACAATAGGAATAAATAATTTATTATTGTATTTATTTATTTATAGCTTTAAATTCTCGTAAAGCTGCTGTAGATCAGCGACCACAAAAAAGATTTAACTCTATCCAAATTAAATCTAGTTTCATCATGATTCTATTGTAGACTGAGGAAAACTAGACCCTTATATTAATAAGTAATTTTTCACCATTATTCGAGTTTTTGTCTTCGTGTGCATTATTTTCTCTGTGAATGTGTTTTCCCCCCTTTTGTTGTATATGGATGAAAGTCTGATGTTTAGTGACTTGTTCTTATGGTTTATAAGGTTTTATTTTTTTGTAAAAACAATAATAGTTTATGTTATAAGTTGCATGACCCTGTGACCCATGAATTTCTGCAGGGTGAATGGGAAAAGATGCTCAGTGCTTCTTGTTTACTTTCTGCAACTTTCTGCTTAGGAATGTTTAATTTCTATTTTATTTTACAACAGTACATTTGACTGCATCCTAAGCACACATGCCACCCCAAAATGTACAAAAAAATAAAAATAATTGTTTGAAAAACTGTTTTACTGCCCTTTGCTGATTGGTGTTTGCATTTGTTTTTAGACCTTCTCAGACTGGCTGATGGGATGTACTGTGTGTGTATTTTATTTAATGAATAAATCTATTGTAACAGATTTTTTTCTGAAAAGTTTGAATTAAACCCAAACTCTCTTGTTATTCTCCATTTTCACAGTGTGAATTTGTGTATACTTGTGTTAATTTTAGTGTAAATGACACATTCCCAGTGTTTGTATTTTCGTGAAGCAACGTTTAATTTCATTGCTATGCTGATGACACTCAACTGTACCACTCTGCTGAACCAACAACTGGAATTCTTCCCTATTCCTATCTGACCATTTAGGAGAGATTATACTGGTTTTGCTCAAAACTTCTGTAGCGGTGATTTTCTTTAAAGTTCAAAATATTTAAAGGCCACTATTACATAGGGGCAGTTTTCACATAGACAAAAAGAAGTCCATTGTCCAAAACTATGCAGATGTTTTTCTTTGATGATTTAATCCAAATCATCACAGTAACAAACAAGCAAATGTTTGTGTCCAACCACTCCTCCTAGTTAAAAAAAAACATTTGCCTATTGCATGCTGGTCCTATACCATGTGACATATTTATGGGTTTCCCAGTTTTACCTAGTCTTCGAAAACTAATGCAACAACCAAAAGAAAAAGTTACAAGTTATACAAAATATTGCAACAAATAATAAAGGAATTAATTTCAAATCTAAAAAATTTAAATAAAATAGCTGCTACAACTTCCTTAGACTCAAAAGTAATAAAACAAAATATTCCATATCTCACAGTTTATTTGGTCCAGTATTTTGCTGTACCATCTCTAAAACCATCTACTGAACACTTTACCTCAAACAACTCCACTGGCTTTCTGTCCAAATTACAAATAACTTCATTTCTGGACATTTATGGTTTGATTTCTTTGTATGTATGGAT